TATATCCGGTTGACAAGTACTTTATGGATCCAGCATCGTTCCCTCTACCGGCATCTGACCCAAACTATGTGGTTGCCAAACTCAAGAGATATGCAGGACGGTTATCTGGCGGCAGCCGGTTTGCAAAGCAGCTTGTTACTTATATCCAAGGCGTGTCCGAAAGAGCGGCTGTCGATGCACAGCAAAGTTATCTTGCTGGTCAATTCTACGAAGCCATGTTAGACGCGTCTGAGAGCGGAGGCTACGAGAGACCATCTCTCCGCTGCTTTCTTTTGCAATGCGTTATTCCTGAATATGTTGCGGTGTCAGTTAGCAATCCAACAGCGTGGATTGTAGCCCGTCCGCTTATCCAGGCTACGACTCGCGTCTTCTCCAATTTAGTAATGTCTGTTGACTGCACTAAACAGGACGAGATTGACATTGCTATTACCTCAATTACAGCATATTTCGGCGCTGTCTACATTGCCATGCAACATGCCATCAATGATCCAGGTCAATTACAAGAATCACCTGTGCTACTCACTCTCGCATCCCTTTTCGAGAGCATAATAGCCTCTCTTGCTATGGTGGATTACCTCGACCGACTGGGCCAGGAAGCAACTGATATGTTATCATATGTTGAATTTTTCGGAAAATTTGCATTATTTGGGCTGTCTACTCTCCTCGATCCTCCAGCTACCACGGTCCCATACCTCCGTGATCTCGCCCACTCACCAGACTCTCAAATTGTCTGCCCTCCAGCCTTCTTCACTGAGACTCGGAACTTTGCAGCCCGCGAATTAGAATCATGGCTCGAAGACAACTGGGCAGTACATGAAGGGATGTATTTTGTCCGACGCGGACAACAGTATACAAAGATTGATGTCAACCCCGGCACCTTATCAGTTGAGCTTGCAAAGACGGCATTCATACAGACCGTCCAGGCTCTTTTCGGCGCCATAGAGACACTACAGCTTTTTTAACGGGTGTCAATTCTGCACTTTCCTAGCTCCTGATTTCTACTATTCTTTCAATTTTAGCCTTAACGACGTGACGATGCATTTGGGTTTGTTAATAGCGGTAGATGAGAGACTTAAAGATAATGTATGTTCATTGGTTTTGAAGACGGATAAGATGCTCTGGTAGGAAGCGGTAAATTTCAAATCAATTTGATGAGCTGCCCTTGACATCGCGGCCTGCTCTAGAAGTAGGTAAACTATTGAGCGCCAACATGGATGACGCTCCCCACAATACTGAAAGAACAAACTCCAGACAGCCATATGTTTGTTTATTGGGTATCCGACTCGAACATAGAAGGGCAACAGGGTATCCCAGCCATGAAAGAAAAGAAACGAGAGGAGTACATGTACGTAGTAGAGAAACGGAGAGAGAGGGAACTCGTAACACATCAAGAAAACAGCGTAACACATTTCATCCAGAGCGCAGGGAACGACCGTCAAGGCGCGTTAAGAGAATCCTCCGTTGGAGGCCTGGATACCGAACCACTATGGCTGTTTGAGCGTAGGTGCAGCCTATTTCCGGAATTGAACGAAGACAGTCCAAGGACCTTTTTTACTGCATTGCTGACGCCAGACAGCCTTCTTCCCTTGCCATCCCGCATTTCACCATGTTCATTGGCATTGGCATTGGCACTGAGACCAGTGTTGACAGCCGGCTGCTTCGGCCTTTTGATAACTGGGACATCCTTTGTTGGCGTTGGCTTTGGGGGCCATTCGCCGTTTGTCTTCCACCCCTGGACGAGGGCTCGGGTCATATGAGAGAGGTTGATAGGCACGGCGGGTGTGTTCGACTGAATGACGAGTCTGCTGTAGATTGCCGGATAGACATTGGGAGTGATGGCAGCTCGTAGCATGTTGGAATCAGGAATCAGGGGTCCCATGATGGGCACCAGGCACTCATCGTCGTCGTCCTCTCTTTCCTTTGTGTCTGCTGTTGCGGCGGCCTGACAGTCTAAGGCGGCCTTTGTATCCAATGAGACGGTAAGCTGCCCTACATTGTCCCTTGTAGGTGCATTATCGGCCGGTGGCTCCGACGGCTTGACCTGAGCGGTGGCCGAGGCGTTGGACGCAGGCCGGGAGAGGGTATATTGCGACTCGGTATCAACCAGGTCTGTATCGTAGCTCCCGTTATAGCTCTCCTCGCTGCTTATAGATTGCCTGTACGCCTCCAGATTCACCTTTGCACCGCTCGCAGCAACGTCAGCAGACCGTTCAGGCGCCTTTGCACCCGTCCAGGCGTCCCGCCTTGCCGTCCAGAGGCTCAGCCCTTCGTTCCACTTCATCTCGTCCTCTTGTATCTTGCGGCGTTTTCTGCGTCTGTCCGATAGCCCCCGCGCAACGGCCTCAGGTGACTCAAACCTATACGGATCCAGTCCCTCAGGGCCATCCAGTCCATCTTCCCACTCTGAACCTGAGTTGTCCATCTCCCGGTGTCTCCACGCTATCTCACGTGGCTCCTCTGGATCTTCTACCGGTGCGCCCACGGCAGCCCGCGGGGTTTGCGGTTCGGCAGCAGCGGCAGCAGCAGGTGTCGGCGGCGGGGGATAAGCCCAGTCATTCCGGACGACCTGGAGGAGGAACCGCTTCGCCTCCCTGGCTGCCGCGTCTCTGGTTTCTATGGTCTTTGTGACTGAGCTAGGCGAGTCGGCAGTGCGGCTTCTGCGATGCAGGCTTGCAAAGACAGAATTCGACGGCACGGGGACAACTGGATTGGGAGCAGGTAAACCGCCAAAGCTATCCATGGGTGTAGACGAGACGCCAGTAGCTGCTCTGGTGCGGTGTATCTCGGTGCTCTTGTGCTGTTGTGTGGAGGTGTGTGTGAAGATGTTGGAGAAAAGCAGCAAGGATGTTTTCGACCAGCGACGCAACGCCTAGGCGGGAATATAAATAACTAGTTATCACCAAACACCACCGACGAAGGAACCAGAAGCCAGGAGAAATAATACGCAGCAGCTCGATATCGCCCAGCACTGCGGTCGACCCGTTTTACGTGCGAGATGTCATCCAAGACGGCCCGGCGGTCGCGAGATCCCAGGTATTCGCCGCCCAAGAGAGCCAAGCAGGTCGGAGCCAGGTGAAAGAGCCCGAGGAGACGAGAGAGACGCTGCATAGGCGAATGGCTCGCTTGCTGCTGCTCGTTCGTATCGGCCAACTCGACGGACAGCAGACAGAGGGGCGTGGAGGGGCCAAAGTGGTGAGATTGTGGCTTGACTGCCGGCTTGGACAATAACTAGTTATTGAGCAGGTTGACTGACGCCTTGCCCTGCAGGCCAAAAGTTGCACGAGAAAGACGGCAGAGCGCGAGCAGGGGCGCCAGGGGGTGTTTATGTTCCTCGATATATACGCAGAGACAGGCAAGACGGCGGAGACACCCTTGCTGGTGGCCGTTATAAGCTTATGCCTAGGATGTTTCGTGGATATCAAAACCGCATCTCGAAATGTTTCCTTACTACTACTGCATGGGAGATCCCGACGGAGGATCAAAGCATGGTTCCCTGGAGACTCAATGCAAGATTTGTTTCTATTGTGCGCTATAGATGCTCCTTCGAGTGCGAGAAGATGGGCTCTGTTGCTCGATCTGCCAGTGTCTGTTATATCCTACAACCACCGGAGAATATCGCGGCTGCTAGACTATCCAAGACTCCTTCTACCCGTGCCGCGCCCTGATCGACCATGATACACAAGATGCAAATCCCAGAAGTTCACCGGGGCACCACTGTTTCGATTACTGTTTCGCAGATCGCAAAAGCGGCGGCATCCAGCAGGCTGTCAGGCGACTCTGCATGGCCGGTTGCTGTTGGTCAATCCCTGGATTAGAATTTGGGCCAGACGAGAGAACTCCTCAGCCAACGGCTAGCCTTGTCTTTGCCGCCATGACAGGTATTAATAGGCACGGCCGAAGAGTCCGGGCTTATTCTGACGCCCAGAAATCGTACGATTTGGTCTCGTCGTCATACGATTTGACTTGAATACTTCATAAGCTCTTGGCCCATTGTCCGACGGAGCTGGCCTGCAGGGTTATGTTTATTTGTTCACGGGGATACGGCCGAGTGGTCTCGAACTGATGGCCATAACCGAGTGGTCAAAATGGATCCGATGGCATACACGATATCTTCCTGGGGCAGTCTAATGACTATTTACGAGTTGTAGGGTTACTCTTTGGCCAATTCGATCTATACAATGGTGATAGCACAGGCGAAGTCACAACTACCCAGTAGAGGTCAATTGAGTCTATGAGGCTATTTTAAGTCCAATTTAGCTGTTCAGTAACAGCTTACAGTATATTGACATTGGTCCATCAATATTATTACCCCAGCCGACACTAATTCTTACCCTAAAGTGGTATCTGATGCTTCCAACATCAAATACCAGGGCTAGGTTTGATTTTAACAAACTAAAATGGATCTGCCTATGACCTATTCTAATATCACCTTTGCCTGGCAAACCACCGGATATACCCTCTCCGTTAAAAGACTCTCCTGCTCTATTCAGAGGCTCCGGCTATATCATCCCTCAGTTAGTCCACTTTTTTATTATCAATCTCAATCTCAATCTCACTCCGTTTGGTATTTCTATTACTGGCGTGGAGTTACCTTTAAATGAGTCCTTCAGCTACAAGTGAAGCCTTTGCTTCCTTCCACTACTCAACAGAACGACAGGGACCAAATTATTATACAAAAGCTCCAACTAAATATCCTTCAGTTGGGCCACTATTGTTTCTTAGAAATCAGTCACAATTTCACCCAGTTTGACATTACCACCCCCTGGCGATAGGGGAACTTTAAATGAGTATTCGCCTAGAAGTGTGGCCTTTTCCTCTTTCTGGCTGCTCAACAGAGCGTCAGGATCTGAAATGATAACTCTCTCAAATAACTAGCTCTGCTACCACTTCTCTCCTGGCATTCTTCAGTCCTGTTTCTTATTTTACTAAATTCTCTCACAGGTTCTTCCATTTTTTACCAACCGGCAGGCAAGTTATAGTAACTTACCAACTCAATAGCCATGGTTCAACGCATCCGGAATACAGCCAGTCTTGACTGTCGCTTGAAAAAATTGACTTTGACAGCAGTTTTTGGAGTTCTTGGAGTTCGCTCTAGAAGTGTCCGTCTTGCGCTGGTTCTTTTCTGCTTTCTTGGACAGGATGACATTTCTCTAGCCCTTTGCGCTCGCGGAGCCACTACTCGAAAACGTTGGGCAGACTCTAGCGGTATCGACGAGACTGAGGCAGACCTCGATTTCGGGCTTGCCCTCCTACTTGCAGACTCGACAGCGTTACTGCCTATACTGCATGAACTTCAACTCGATGGGATTATCTCAATCAGCCCTAGCAACGCCTTTCGCATGGACCCGGTTTATTCAACTAAGATTTTAGCGGCATTGCCTCTAGAGTTGCGTCATCTCTGGAGATTAAAGGCTCTGCTCTTTGCGTCTCAAACTATCCCCTGGGAATATCTTGAGCCTGAGTGTGTATGCCCTAAGTTATGGATACATATTACAGCTACTAACTAGTTTCAGACCAACCGATATGTCTACAGAATTCGCACATTTGCAGCACACCTTGCTTGAGATACAAAATAACGAAAGATTATTGGGCTCTAGATTCGAATAAGAAGGCTGAAGTGATTTCCAGCTTACTCGAAGCGTCTAGATTCACAGACGTCGAAGGTCGTTTGTTCGCTATTGCCAACGCTAAGGAACTTATGATTGGACTAAACAGCCGCTACCTGAAATATTATGTTGCATATAAGGAGTCTCTCGCTCTTCGTCTCACAGGGGATGTGGCCCAGGCTAAGGAGGTCCTCAACTCTATCCTCCCTATCGCGAGCCGATATTCATCCTCACGCAACGTCAAAACGCATTCAGCACGTGGACACATCCTCATCCAGCATGCACTGGATTATTCCCAAGCCAGTGAACTTGATAAGGCCATAGAATTGTTAAAGGGCTGGGAGGCGATGAGTCGGCATCCTAGTCCAATCGAGTCTACCGTATTATTTCGAAAACATCTCCTCATGGGCGAACTTCTCCGGTGTCGAGGAGGATTCAACGAGTCATAGTCACATCTTCAAAGATCAGAGCGGCTTATTAGTATTCAACCAAAACTCTGCTTCACTCCATACCGCACTGATCTCTTTTTCAATATCGGCGGCACCCTGATAGAACTTGATGATTATACCTATGCCGAAAGCCAACTTAGAAAAGAACTTCTCAGACAAGCTAAGGAGAAAGATAAGGTCGCACCTCTTCTGAACCTCACACTAGCCGAATCATTCTTCGCTCAAGAACGCTATGCCAAAGCACAGCGTTTCAGGCGCATATTTCCGAGAGGGAAAAGCTACATGTCTTAATTCTATTGGCGAAAATTTTTCATGCTAGATCTGACTGGAGGAATACATATAATCACTGGTATACGGCCTTGCGTAAGGTAGCTCAATGCTTTCCAACCTACGATCATATTGCAAGGGTAGCTCTCGAATCTCTCTACGACATAGCGCGCCGTCTGGGACTTCATAGTTCTCAGCTCAAGTTTGAGGAGGCACTAGCGGAGTTTGGAAGTATGATAGACTCATTGGAAGGACGGCATTGGATTGCCGGACTGGATCTATGGCTGGATAGTTTCCCGGGGTCACTCACATCCGCACGAGCCGCTTACTAGGCAACTATTGAAACTATGTGGTAAACGAGTTGATCAGCTCTATACTGCTCTAATGTCACTTAATAACAATCTCTTGGGTGGCTGCCCAGTGCACTTCATGTCACATTCTTCGAAATCTCACTAGCTTTTCTAAAGTAGTGACAACATAGAGTATCTCGTCCGGTAACTATAGAGTAGTTCGCCCCAGAAGCTACTAACTAGTTAGTTATTTAAGATTAAGGTATGCTCCACCCAATGTGCGGCCCGCATAGCTTATTTTCTGCCACTTGGGCTTCATGTCAGATGCTTATACGGCAGATGGTAGTAATACCTCCATCGGTGCTCTTTAAATGCCTTATCTACTTGAAAATGGTTGAAATGGACACGGGTGTTGTCCTAATTTTTCATATATATTTTGGAAGGTAACACATAGCCTCAAAAACCCAGCATGCATATGCACACCCATGGTCAAGATACCCACTCTCCGTCCAAGTTCACATCATTGAAGCATCCGATAGGTCAACGAGGGCACATTTCAAGGGGGGTAGGTCGGAGTTCCAGCCCTGCATAATATAGCTGAATCTGATTGGGGTTGACCGTGTCTGCCTGGATGGCGGCGTAGCTAGTAGCATGGGAGCAGCACGCCTTACTACACTCAACGAATTGAATAGCAAAGCAACATCTATCACACTCCCCCTGTTGCATGGAAGTGCACTGCCATGAGTCATAGAAACCTTTATGAGCCAGGCAGACGCCGCCTCGGACAGGAATTGTACTTATAGATTGGAGTATAAAAGGCCAGCTTTCTACCGTGAAGACGGGCTTCCAATAACCACTCAAATCGTCTTTACATGCCCATCAATCCAGACAGTACTCATCCTGTTACTGCTATTATAGCTGAGCCAGTCGACGATGTGTATCCAGGAAGACCAGGTCTTTCATACTTACAAATGTGGCTACAAAGGCCCGGATAACGAAACGGCGCAAATATATCCCTGCGATGAAGCCAATTTTTGTATAAATTCTAGTAAATCCCTCCGTCTGTAGCTGTCAATTAGTAACTACTAACTGGCTGGCTGATAAGCTCTATTCCGCAACCAACAAACTAGGCAGTAAGCTCGTCAATTGAGCCTGGAAGTTAACCAACTAGCTAGTTAGTTAACTACTCCGTAGCGTAGTCCAGTTACTAACCATTAACTAGTTGGAGCAAAGGCTGAACCCCTGAGACCATAACATTAACAACACATATCAAGAACGACGACCCCTTAGTACTTGCAATCATTTGTTCTTGCAACAATCGACGTGGGAAATGAAGATGAGATATATCAAACCCCCAAACTATCCGGGCCGTCAGCTCGCAATGGGCTTGACAGGCGATATCCGTGCCGTGGACGAGTCCTATGTTGTCAAGCACCCGAAATCAGACCCTGACTCGTCCGAGGAAGCCCGGGTGTATAATGAGATGAAACTGGAGATGATGAACGTCGAATGCCGGATATATGAGCGATTGGGTCCGCACGATAGTATCATCCGTTATTATGGCCCTCTCGACGACTCTGGGGCAATAAAATTGGCATACGCAAAACAGGGCGACCTCGAAAAATACATACCCAGACACGAGATGCCCTCCAAGGCAACACGAATAGCCTGGATTCGGTCTCTGATAGAGGGTTTCTTCCACATCTATTCAAGCAAGGTGCTTCATCAGGGCATCAAACCAAACAATGTTCTTGTCCCCTATGGCTCAGTTAAAATCATCGACTTTGCCAATGGAGAGATCTTCCCGCCGGATACAGGCATGGAGAAAGTCTACACAGATGACCCTTTCGCGAAGGGAGACTTATGCGGAATTGCCGGCGTGATCTACTCTGTCTCTGCATGGAGAGTATTCCATTACGAATATTTCGAGGACAACCGATTCCCGCGGCCAGATGAAATTTCTAATACCGAAGCCTTGTTGTACCGAGATATTATCGACAAATGCTGGAGGAACGAGTATCATTCTATTCGATCACTGTACGAGGATTTCCAGAAACATGAGAAGGAGGTTATTACTCCGGACCTAGAGAAGGACGGGAAGCCCCGGATGGAGTTTATGCTGTGGTTCTGTGCTGTCCCATCTCTAACTCTTGCTTTCGAGTCGGCTTCTTTTCGCGGGATTGAGATGATACAGAGGGTGCCTGAAGGGAGTGGCTGCAGTTAGCTGCGATTTTGGATACGTGTATGAATAGTCAGGTTATTTGCAGGTCAACGCAAACGGTTTACTATTAAGATAAATCCTAGCTATGAGTAAACATAGAAAACAGTGTTATTTTTCTAATTGTTCATGAAATATTGGTACATGTCCTCTATATTTTCCCCCAACGGCCATGAAAAAGTAACTGACAAAGGATGATAAAAGGAAGTAGAAAAAGAAGAAGGATAGTATACAGGAGTATCAAACATATCAAGTTGGGGCTAATTTCGAACACGGCCAGTCTCAGCACCAGGGGCGTCGGCAGCGTTGGGAGCAGAAAAGCCTAAGCCGTGAGCCTTCTTCCGCCGTCCCTTGCGATCACCATATTTCTCGTCAAACTTTCTGATAGCAGTTAGGGATGACATATCTTCACTGATTGACGCGCTTATCTCTTCCATTGCCTTTTCGAAGTGTTCTTTACGCAAAGTGCGGTGCTCGGGATACTTGTACGGTTCGTCTCCCTTGTGCTGTGCAGCAATGTCATTCTCTTCTCGGACACAGGCCAGGGCAGCCGCAACTGAAAGGTTTTTCAAGTCAGAGCCAGAGTAGAATGGTGTCTTCTCGGCAATATCGGCTAGGTCTACACATGGCGCAAGACGTTCGTCCTTGAGATGGATTTTAAGAATGGCCAAACGGTCTTGTTCTGTGGGTAGATCAACGAGTAAACGACGGGGTAGACGGCGGAGCACGGCATCATCCAGGTCAAACGGCCGGTTTGTAGCTATCATAATGAAGGCAGAGAGGCTGTTCATGCCGTCCCACTCGCGCAGAAATTGATTGATGAGTTCTCGGTGGGAGGTGCGGTTACTTGCGCCTGTTCGAGAGCAGAAGATGGCATCTGCTTCGTCGATAAAGACAACACAGGGTGTGAGCTTTTTGGCAAGGGTGAAGATGGCACGGACGTTCTTCTCGCCTTCTCCCACGTACATGTCGTAGACGTCAGATCCGCTGATTTCAAGGACGGTAGCACCGCTCTCGCGAGCAACGGCTTTGGCAAGCATTGTTTTACCTGTGCCTGGAGGACCGTAGAGAAGTAGGCCGGGTATCTTGTCGGTTGCAAGGACACCGTATGTAAACGCCTCGGGCCGAATGAGAGAAAGGGAGGTAAGTGTCTTGAGAGCCTCCTTGGTCTCAGGTGGAACGTGGACATCTGCGAATGTAGTATTTATACCTTCTGCATCTACCACGCCATTGAGGAGCTTCTCTTCATGAGTATTGCATTTTGGTCGTAGTTTATTCCGTCTATCCTTATGGGCAGAAGGTTTCGACGGTTTCGCTTTATTCTGTTTTTCGCCTAGCCAGTCACACTTGACCTGATCACTTTTGCCTACCAGCTCAATACCCTTGGTAATATGGTCTAGTGTCAGGCTTTCGTCTGGTTGTATACAGCCAAGGGTAAGTGTGGAGATGCGGTGGACAAGGCTGAACGGCCAATATCCTGTATCAAGGCCCGAAGTTCGAACAAGCTCTTCCTCAAGCTCCCAGGGCAGGTCGTTGAGGAGGCTCTGACCAGCGGTTCCAGATTTCCTGAGTCTGGTCTTCAGCATAACCTTTAAATGTCGAATGTTGATATCGAGGATGCGCTTTTTTGCATCTTTGGCAAATATTTCTTCTGCAGCCTTTGATGACATTGCTGGAGGCACGACGATGGTTGAAGCACGCTGGTCGTAGTCTCTCGGAGTCAGTCTTGGGAAAGCTTTCTCATGGCCCTTGTCAGATTCCGGCTCCGACACAGTTCCGACGATAACTATCTGGTCGCCGCTGCGCCGCCGTCGCATGACGGTTTTGTGCAATAATGAGAGGAAGAAGGATCCTCCCCGGGTGTTAAGTAGGTCTTTATAGTCTTGTATTTGTAGGATGAGTGTTGGTTTCTTTGGCAAAGATGATGAGGATTGCTGGGATGGCGGAGTTGTGGGGGTGGGAGGTGGTATAGGGGTATTTTCAGCAGATTCAATGGGTTCGGTGGGCTCAGGGGTCGAAGGTGACTGTTCCTTTGCATGCTCAGCTTGCACACGCTTCCCCAGAGGCACATCTAATAGCTCATTGATCAGCCGCAGACATCGAACGTCCTCATCCGAGTCCATGCCTTCCTTGCGTTCACCACTGGGGAGGACCACCTTGGCGACTCCAAATGAGCCCTTGCCGCCAAAGAGAGACTGCAGTATGGATGGGTTTACCAAGCTTGAAATATCAGCGCTGATCTTGGTGACGGGGAGGGCAGCAGACTGGGAAGACCAGCGGTCCGACTCTTCATCTTCTATCTCCTCCTCTTCCTCTCTCTCCTCTGCTTCGTCCTCCATCTCTTTCTGCGTATGCCGTTGTCTCGGCCTGTAGACGTCATAGCCGAGCAGAAGCATCATGGAGCTAGACAGTTGATCATTTTCCTGTCGTTGCTGGCCATATAGTTCTGCAATATCCTGTGCATTCAGTGTGACGATGCTGGTATTCAGGTCCGTGGCCAGGCTCTTGACCACAGCATCAAGGAAGAGGATCCCGCCTTCACCAGGGTATTGTAAGACAAGATGGGGCTTTGCAGAGGCTGGATCATGGGCGTATCGAGCAGCAGGCAAGGTTAGACCGGCCTGTACAGCTGCTCTTAGCTCCTGCCATACCTCTGGGCTGAGGGTATATCGAGAGTCCGGGCTAGATGGCGAGGCATCATCTGGCTTTCCGGCGCTACCGTCATCACCTCCCTGGCCCTCACGGAGCTGGTCACCATCCTCGGCGTTCTCCTGTTTGCTCTTCTGGGAAATATGCACGTCCAGGGGCGGTAGCTGTGACTCCTGTGCGGACTGATCAGACAGCTTCATGTTCCGCCGGTGGAACCAGGCTGGTAACTTGATAGCTACCGGTTTAGCGGGTTTATCTTCCGTCTTTCGATTCCTCATCGCTCGTCGAGCGCCTGACCCGTACGGGCTGTAGCCCCTGGGTTTGTCCTTTTTTGCCTGGAGGCCGGGCTCCTTGGTCTCTTTCTCTTTCCCCTCCGGCGCCACAGCATTTTTGGTCTCTGATACCGGCGTCTCACCCTCAATTGGCCTGCTGTTGCTTACGGGCGTGTCAACCGGGTTATGCGGACCCTCTGGAGCCTCTCCGCGGGCGCTCGAGGTGTGAAAGGCGCGCGGATACCGGGCATGTCGACGGAGTCTAGAGCTGGCGGCGAGCGAACGGGCTGCTCCAGGGTGCCCGTAACGCACCGAGCGCAGAGCGCATTGCATTTGGGCGAGCATCCAGGGCAGATCTAGCACTGCTGCCACTGGGCTGGAGTGTTTCGAGTAGGTATTCGAGGACTCATCAGCGCTGAGCTCGCTGTCGTTTCTTTTCTTCTTTTAAGGTTCTTCATTTGCTTCCACCATTCGAGTTTGATCTGATATGCGGATATTAGTTTTTCCGTTTATGCTTATGGGATTACATAATCATATATATACTGAAAATTTTACAGCCCAAGCAAAGGCGCGAGAGAGATAGAAATTGAATATCAGGAACATTTTGGAGTAAAACGAGTCTGACTGAAGAAAGATCAATTCATTCACTAGCTATGCTATCTATATACGTAATGAGGGAAGAGACCTAATCTGCAACAGTCAGCGAGGAACAGCAAGCTGATCAAGAGCAAACAAGCGAGTATGGCGTGTATAAAGCAAATCAGACATCCAAGGAAGATAAAACGCTCAACGACACGTCGACTTATTAGGTTCATGCGACAGCTAGCGTGGAAACTGCGAATGTAGGAAAAAATTTCATCATAGAGTGCTGGTGTGTGGTGTGTGCACAAGTTTAGGGATAGCTTACCGTACAAGCTACTCTACTGCGAGCGTTCGACAGTAAACGCGGTGGCTGTGTGAGCTTCATAGAACCTAGCGAGGGTCAGCAAAGGACCATCCAGCGAGCTGACGCAGCAACGGCAGAGGGAGACAGTTCCAGTCAGACAGATATACTGGCAAGCAACAGATCAACCGGAGAGGGAAGATCCGCATGTCTCTTCAAGGGCGACTCAGAGAAGGTAAGAAGAAGGAGTTTGTGTCATCACGGAACCAGAGCACTCCGATACCACGTACCTCATCATATCTCTCTCACGCCACTGTCTTCATCTTCATCATCCCAACTTCAACGTCGACATCGTCGACTTTGTTGTTGTCGTTAAGAAGAAAGGAAAAAAAATTTTCTTTTTAAGCGCACGAAAAAAAAAGCGTCTCACGTGACCTTGGCCCAAACGGGCTAGCGCGGCCGTCCGTTTTGCCTCTTCGAAGTTTTGAAGTCGAAAGCAGCAAAGTCGACGACGACGACAGCGACAACGACGAAGACAGCGACGACGACGACGACGACGAAGACGACGTAGCGAAGAGACGAGAACGACACGGGCTGACCTTCTCGGCGTTGCTCTCGACCTGATGGTGTGCAGGCGGACCTCCTCGTCGCCGCCGTGCTCCTGATACGCCCTCTCGTTTTCCCGCCCCCAGCCTGCTGGAATCTGCCCCTTCAACCTCCGCCGGAGCGTCTCGCTCGCCCTCTGCTCCTCCTTGCGCCCGCCTCTCTGAGGCCGAAGACCGTCGAGGGAGTCTGTCGTGCGGCCGCTGGAGCCCCGTCTGCGCTGGATATCTCGCTTTTTTGGTCGCCGTGGGGGTCACTTTGCTCCGGAAGTATACTGTTGTTAGGGTTCCGTGGGGATTAGCCCGGCCGTATTATCGCGTCGATACACGCCGGATATCAGCAGAGTCTGCCTCTGTCGCGTGTTTCCCTGGTGCCCTCACAGTTCTGCTCGGTCTCCCAGGCGCCGTGGTCAATCGGAAATGATGATGGCGCAGCCGTTCCCTGCTCCTCAAGTCGGCATGGCGCACCATCCGGGCATGGTGCAAAATCACCCAATGGCCCCCGGCCAGCATCCGGCTGCCGCGCATCTCGCTGCCCAGGCACCTGGCGGAGGCATGATGCAGCAGGTCCATGCCGGTGTTTCTGCGCCGGGAGCTCCCCAGGCCTCTCAGCCGGGCCCAATGGCTGCTGGCATGCAGCCCGTTTCGGGACCGGGAGGCCCAGGTCCCAACGCTCACACTCTCTCCCATCTCGGACCCGCTCACTCCCACCAGATGTTCCAGTCTCCCCATCTGGCTCAGAACTGTATGTTTCACCCAACTCCCCTTTTTTGTTGTTCATGCATGTCTACTACG